CCTGACGAGATAAATTGTCCAGCTCGAAACAGTGAACCAACTTTCGTAGCAGTCGACCTATCGAACGTTTCAAGCTAATCACTCCAATTCATGTCGGTAATGGCTGGCCTCTCGTTTCCGAATATACAAGCTAATCTATGTTGTAGATGTCTGTTCGGGGACATTTGTTCTACTCTCGCAGAGCTAATCTGTGATTTATACCGCAGCTATACTGAGCAAACCATAGTTAATTTTTTATTTTTTTTTTTTTTGTGGGGGAGCGCATAATTGGTCGCGCTTACCAGTTTGAACAAATCAAATCTTAAGTCGCGATGACTTGCGACTTCATGTTAGTCCGGAATCCATTGATATTCATGCTATTTCATTTATACATATAAAATCTACTTTATTCGTATCTACCTATCTCTAGCAATTTATTTTTTTATTTTTTTGGTCTGAGCAATGATTTTGACAAACCCTTTTCTTGGTCTCCTTTCGGAGAGCTCTTCCCCCTGCGTGCATTCGAAGGTAAGTGGCACTCATTCGAACCACGTTTCTTGTAGTCCTGCCAGCTGCTGTCGCCTCCTATGCCACGATAATGCTTATTTTGCAGGATTTCCCCACTTATTCATCGAGCTTATACAGTTCATGTATTTATTTTGTCTTTAAGCGCCTTTTGCAGATTTCTCAAACCATTTCATTTTCTTCTTACACGCTTTTTAAAAGACACTCTGTTTATCAAAACATGTTTCTCCAGTTGATTACTTGAAACGACGATTTTCTTTTAATACCGCTGGACTTGTCTGCGCCAAAGAAAATTGCTAAGCAACAGGAAAGATCTTAATAAATAATAATAATTAATTGCACCCGTGGAAATCCCAGGAGTGTTAGCAAGAAATATATCGTGAATTTCATACAGTCAACATTTGACAAAAAATATTTGCGAAAACGAACGGCTTAATTAAAAAGAAAATGTTCGATACATTTAAAAAAAAAAATGTAGGAGAATTTAAGACCTGAAAATATATTTTGAACCAACTTTCTTGTTCAATGTTTTCAAAACAGACCGGTATTATCAAAAAAAAATCTGTCTGATGATACCGCTCTAAATTTAAAAACATATAAGAAATTTTTTTAATGATATGTTTCTATATATCATGGCCAATTGAATGACAAAGTGAAAAATTTTAATGTAACATGTTTCGTCTGATAAAAGAAATTCAGGAAGTCATTCTAGAAGAAATATGTGTTTGTGCATGCCCTCTGATACTACGCCCATTCTAAGCAGAAGTACCGATCCAACTGAAAATAACTCCGTCGTTTTTGACGGGTAATATACCAGTATTCCTTTAATAGCGCAAAAACACGTCAAAAACAATAGAATTATTTACGGTTGGATCGGTACATCTGTCTAGAATGTGTGTAGTATGAGTACGCTCGTACACACACAGACACATATATGTGTGTATATATATTATATATATATATATATATATATATATATATATATATATATATATATTTGAACTTAATTTCAATCCTTCATAAGCTTCCGATCCTTAGCTATGATTAATTAATGAACATGTCATTTTCGCTTATGATCGATTTCATCACGATTATTCTGTTAAGCTTGGAAAGCAATTCTGATTTCTCAAATTAGTCCGTTAGTTTTATAAAAGCTCAGAGTTCCAGTAAAATATCTTAAAGCTTAATTTAATAAATAGACATTTTTTTTTTACACGATTTGGACAATTTTGCTGTTACAGTCGGTATATATATATATATATATATATATATATATATATATGGGGAAATTTAAGACTGAAATCCAAAGACTATTTTATTATTTAAACATTATTTTTAGTGAATACCCATATTTGAGTAGATGCTCTGTTTATTTATTAAACAATATATTTATTTATTTTCATCTGCCGGCTTGAATTATCGAGAAATTTTATTAGTAATATGCTTTCTCCGGCAAGGTACGAACCTACCGGAATCCGATATTGGCTCTAATATGATTTGACCTCACGGCTCCAGAGACTCTGATTGCCAAACAGCCCCAATAAAGCTCATATTTTTCTAACTGAATTTCTCGAATATTCAGGTCGGCAGAGGAAAATAAATATACTGTTAAAAAAATGTGTATACATGATGATAAAATGTCCCAAATTTAAAAAAGACAAAGTTTTTTATCGTCAAATTGTTATGTGTGCTATTATTACGATAAAGTTATTTCTTTTATCTAATTTTTTAAAATCCTTTTTATAACTTTCGAAATTTCAGTTAAAAATATTGTTTCTCTGGCGTCAACAAGAGACTGCAGATTATCACTGGAAACGTGAAAGTCTTCTTGCGGTGAAAAACACATTGATTTGGAAACTCTTGCTAAAATTAAATAATTGTTGGATTTTAATGAAACTTTCAGGACTTAGTTACAAATGAATTTTCTCCATCGAAGCACTTCGCAGCGATCGTAAAAAAAAAATGTCATGATCAGTTAGTGCAAGGCCAGGTGAATATGATGGAGTAGAATAGACCAAACGCGTCTCCCACCCACCAAAAAAACCCCCCAAAAAACAAAAAAAAACCTGTGTTCTTGCTGTATATGGCCCTAATCTGTTATGGATGCGAACAACATTTTTCCTTTGATCTACTGTGCACACTGCCAGTATTGTGCTAGTGTACTCCAGATATATTCTCAACTGCCACGCATGATTAGTAGTTAGGATGGCACGTTCATCATTACAATTGGTGCCACAGAAATTAATTTCCGACTCAATCTGATATACAAGAATTTCAGTTAATTTTTTTTTTCCATTGTTAACTGTATTTAAAGTCAGGTGTGCGGGTGGTGAAATGGATAGCTGCTCAGAATGAGAAATCTAAGAACCGGGTTCGAATTTCAGTCGAGTTTGTTACATTAAATTACGTGCAAATAACTTTTTGGAAATGTATGAATACATCTCGTCTGCCACCGCCAGCTCTGGGTTAAATAAGTGCTTGAATTTGGAAAAAGCATTGCTATTCATGTCCCCCCCCCACCTCAACCAAAAAATTGTTAATGCAATATTCACTGAAAAAAAAGAAAAAAAGTTTCAGCTTTAAATAACCCACAACAGGTTGATAAGCCGTAAAAAGAACAAATCAATAAATCTATCGTGTTGGTTATTTTTTTTATTGTTTCGACAACACATTTAAGATTCTCAAATTTTTGTAAAATGAGTTTCATATAATCTTTGATATTCAGTTGTCTGTCGGTTAAATAGTATGATTTGTATCTAGAAAAATTACCTCGAAAACAAGTTTCGGCTTTAAATAGCCCACCAAGGGTGGATAACCCGTAAAAAAATGAAATCGATGAATGTATGTAACGTTTAATTGAATGCACATTATTTCCGGTGGGATCAGAATAGAAAAAGTAATAACTACGTATCCAAGCCGCGTAGCTGTCTTTATTGGTTATGTTTCGATAGCAATTTTCCTCGAAGTATTCCATGTATACCGGAGAGAATGGTGATCCCATAGCTTAATCTTCTTCCTGTCGGTATATGTCGGAATCCAATTGGAAATATGTTTGAATACAGAAAATCAATAATTGCCAGACTCCCTTTGAATATTTCATCCTATTCTAATTTGTTTTAGCTATACTAACATATCATTTAGTTATGTCTGTGGAATTTAATTTCTTGGAAAAGTAATCCCAAAATCTATACTCTTCATTCCATTGTGTGCATAGGGAGAAATCTTTAATGGTCTTCACAAAGTGGGCGGTATAATCAACCTGTTTGTGTGTTGATTATATCTGCGAGGAATCTGCTCAGAGGGCGACAGGCTCAGTTTCGACTATTGGCATCAGAGAAATATTTAACTCGGCTGCAAATTGATGGTACCTTGTCAAAAAGTCAATAATATCATATCGAAAAGAATCATATTTACAATTACCATGAAAGACTTTTAGAAAAGGTTTAATAAAAAACCTTTAAAATGGGCTGAATTTACTGAATTCGAGATGCCAGATCCAAACCAATAATATTGCTGATTCTTCTTCCAGTTTTTTTTTCAATCTATATAAATAACATGAGTACAGGACCATATGTGATAGCAATACTCAAGCAATATCATAATGGTAGACTTATAGATGTGTAAAATAGATTCTGGGAATTTTTGAACATTTTTTCAACCAACAAACTTATTTTTGACCTAGTAATGGATTCAATGTTCTTTTTGTTCATTCGTAGTCTTGGAAAACATGGATTTCATGCCTTTTTCCAAGATTATTAAATAAATTATGAAAAAGTCTTTTGACATAAAAAAAACCCCATGTTAAAATACTTCATTCTTTTTTTACATTCATAAACTTATAATGAAAGTCTTTATAGAAAAATATCTCTGAAATTAAATTTTTACGGCAGAAATAACTGAATTGAGATAGGCAGATCATTTGCCAATAACATTACAGCCTTCTTTATTTTCATCATTGCTCTATTTAAATATTCTTTTGTTTTCTGTCGTATTGATTTAACAATATTCTAAGCATTCTGAACAAATGACATTTGCAATAGATATATAATTATAGATTCTGGAGAAATTAAAAAAAGTGTTTATTTGACGACACTGACATTTTTTAAATTTTTTAGAAAAATGCAACGAATTCAGTATAGTCCTTTTACTTCTTGTCAGCCGTTTGGGTCCGTTTTTAATCTTGCTGTAGTTATCATCATAAAAACGGCGAGACAATTTTTGAAAGTATCCTGCTTGTCAATCTCACCGTTGTGATGGCCATATTGTGGAGTTTCAGTCCGCTTAGGAGGAAAAGATTTTAATAAAACAACAGTCCCATCTGAACAGTAGCGATTATGGTAACTATATATAACAAAAAAAAGAATAAAATGAAAATCCATTTTTGAGTGAAAAAAATGAAACATCATGAGCTTATTTGCTAAAAAATTGACAGGCAAGAACGAATCTTTTATTCGTTTCATAACTTTTATTATCTATATCTATGTATATATATATCTATGTATATCTCTCTCTCTCTCTCTATATCTCTCTATATATATATCTATATCTATCTCTATATATCTATATCTATCTCTATATCTATCTATCTATCTATCTATCTATCTATCTTAATATCTCTCTCTCTACCTTTCTATACAAATTTCTATCTATCTAACTGGTCTATCTATCAGAATCTAATTCTGTGACTTCCGTTAGTCAAAAAAAAAAACACCCTCATGAAATAGTCATAACTGAAAGATCACAACCAAACTTTGGGTAAAAGTGCGGTATAGGTCATTTAAAAGTACAGTTGGTTTTAAAAGGGTAGATAAAACCACAAAAGTAATGACGTTTCGTTTAATGAACTAAGGGTTCATAGGGTACTAAATAACCGTTTCAAATGAAGTCCTTATAATTTTTTCCTATTTAAAATCTATCAAGACATTTGCAAATTGAACTGGGCATATGGGGAATTCTTCATTCTTCAAGTATAACAACCCTCAATTTATCTTAATTACTGCATCTTATATTCCCCTCCTCATTTCTTCTCCCTGACTTTCTTCTCCCTCCGGGTTCTTCTTTGGAAAAAGAAAATCCCTCCTCTTTCGTTCTTCCTCCTAATTCTTCTCCCTCTAACAGATCTCCTTTTAATATTGTCCTCATTATCCCTCCCTTTATTTAATCCTCCTTTTTTTCTCCCTCCTCTTTCTTCTTAATAAATTTTTTCTTCTATATACATATTACTTCTATATATATATATATATATATATATATATATATATATATATATATATATATATATATTTTCATTCATACACGTTTCATTAAATAATATAGACAAGTGTTGTCTATTTATTTTATGTAAAATTTTTCATAACGTCTGATAAGTTTAATAACATTATCGTTGAACGAAGAAAGAAATTCACAATATTGATCCATATTTTTTAATTTAATCAATCTAAGCTTTCGGCTTACATAAGCCATTATCAAAGATGTCAATTACAACATATGAAGCAATATACAGACAAGACAGTGATGATAGTCTGTCATTGTTTACATAGATGATTTCTAAGCAACGATAAACACGTGCATATAAGACGCTAGAAGTGAAAATCGCACCGCATCTCATGACGTCACACATGACCACACAAGAGTGAATTGGAGAAGTATGAAGTATGGAAAGCCGTTGGTATAAACCAATGGCTTCTGTTACCAATTATAGACATTAAGGAATATTTGTAGAGATTCCATAATTGATTTTATTTAGGTTGGGTTTCAACTGTTTGATGTATAATGCTTCAAGGATTTTTATTTTTTTCTATTGTTTTCATGTCGAAGTATAATTGTGTTTTCGACAAATATTTTACGGAATTGTGTGTGCGCAGGGCATGTTTTTTAAAATGCCTAAAATATTTTAAATATTTTCATTCAAATGTAGTTAAATTAAATTTAAAAAAGTTAAAATTTATTTTTAATATAATTTTGCAAATATTATTAATTCTCCAAAATCGCACATAAATGTTGATTTTTAAATCGATCACACAAAATACAAAAAAATAAATATATATATAATTATATATATATATATATATATATATATATATATATATATAAATATAAATTGATTGACTTTGGCTGGTAAAAATAAATATTTTATTCGTCAAAATATTAATAATTCATTTTTAAATTTTTGATTTAATATGGTATTGATATATGTTTTTTTTTAATTAAAAGAAAAGAATTTGTTAAACGACAAAACGAAATTGTGTTTAAAATATACTACGCATTTTTTTTTAATGCAATTTTTTGAATGCGTGAAATAAGCAGTTTAAAAATGAAAAATTTAATAATCGTAAATTGGATTATTTTTCGACTTTTTTATAAATATCTTTATAACCCTATATACATATAATAATGGATGATTAAAATAAACAGTTTTGAAACAATAAAGAGCAATGAAACCAACATTCAACAACTTTTCACATCTTTCCAATAAAATATGTTTATTTAAAATTACTTCCCACACATTCCAATAAACCTTTATATATATATATATATATATATATATATATATATATATATATATATATTTTATATCAGATTCCAACATGCATATACCATTATCAAAATTTCTCAATGATATTATTACCCCATATCTCCCTACTAACTATAGCATTAAATCTAATTTGTGAATTCCTCATTATAATCAAAAGCACAAAATTAAAAAAAAACCATATTCATTCTTGAAGTTGACACTAACGTATGAATTTATTTACTAATGTTCTCTTCCCCGAAACTATTGATATTATTAAATTCGGTCTATAAAAATAATTTAATTCCAAAAAATTAATCCAACCAAATATTCTAAGAAAATTAAACTCAATGGTTGCACCACTAGAGTTCCTTTTTATAGCCAGAATAATTTACAAACAAACTGATGGAGTAAGTATTTAAAATAATATCAGCTCTGTGCTTTTTAATTATTATATGTTCTATGATTGAAAATAAACCACAGAGACTAAAAAATTAAACCTGAAATATATATTCGTTAATAGACGATATTTTATTTTATTGGAACAAAAAAAGAAATGAAAATTAAAGACATTTCAACAAAATTCATCTTAAATTTTACTTATGAAAAAAAAAAAAAATTTCTTAAATGTTCTCGTCGATTTTAGTAATAATACTTTTAAAAAAAAATTACAAAAAAAACAACTAGTAAAGACACTCTTGCCATCTTAATTTTCTCTAGTGAATGTCCTCTTAGATATAAAATAAGTGTTATTAAAATTTTTGAATCACGAGATATAAATAGAACTCATCCTCTCGCAATTTTTTCTTTAAAGGCATTAAAAAATGTAAAACAAACGCTGATTAATAACTGATTTCCCTAATCAATTATTGGATTTCCATATTAGGCGTTTCTTGTCTTAAGTAGCTAATAGCAACGGATATGAATAGAAACCTAAACAATAACATTAATATTTTATATAAAATCAAATGAATGAAAATTATAAACAGGATGAATGCAGAATTAAGAACATTATAAAAAAATGCATAACACCAGTTGACAATAACAAAAAAATTAGATTATTTATTATAAAAAATTTAAAACCTCTAACATTATAGTTAAAAATAATAATTCACCTCCCTAGAACAAAATTAAACAGGGCAAATATTATTTACGAATTTAAATGCCCATTAAGGAATCGTATTCCTGGTCCATCAAAATTCGTAAATAATTATATAGGCCACACTACAACATGTTTGACATGCAGACTTACTCTACACCTTTCTGACAATAGCTCAATTAGATCTCATTTAAATATTCATTTTGAGACCTACCGGACACTAATTCGGAACATACTTGTCGACAACACTAATATAATAAAGCATCATTACAAAAAAAAAATAAAAATAATAAAAAGCCTTAAAAAAAAAAACAAAAAAACCAACACTAATAATATTAACTTTGAACATGGACATAATATCTTGACCGTGTTTTTTAAAAAAAAAATGAAAACATTTTATAAAACATACATACAACAAACCATTTCTTATTCTTCTTTTTTTAACAGTTAAAATATTTAATCCTTGAAAATGGCTAAATGTATATATAAGAAAAACTCGGATAAAAATTTACATTCGGACAGTTTTTTATATAATTTATCATCCGAAAAGAAAAAAATTATTAGATCGCATGAGAAATTGTATAAAAAAAAAATAAAAAACCTTTTCTGTCGTTTTCAATGAAATGTGAATGAAAGAACGATTGCTGGCTAAATATAAATATATATATCTATATATATATATTATATATATATATATATATATATATGTGTATTATATAAAAAATATATATATATATATTATATATATATTATATTTATATATATATATATAGTAAAAGGTTTGTCACTTTGTTAATTGATGTTATGTTTAGCATCCCGTCTCTAGAGCTTCGTACACTGTCCGCTCGTCAAAGGCATCATGAAATAACCGCCTATAGATTTCGAAAATCATTAGTGCGATTTTTTTTTTATAGTGTATTCATTATAATATTTATGCATGGATTAAAGATAGAATATCATGATTATTTGTCCTTTTCGTAGTTTAAGGAATTTGACTTTATAAAAGAAACCTTTTCTTTCTTTTTCTTTTTTCTTTTTTCTTTCAATTGTTACCATTTGACTTGCCTAATGACTCTTGTAGATGAAAGAATAGAAGTCCTTTTCAAATGAGACATAAAAAAAATTCATACAATGAAATTTTTTTTTTGCGACGTTTTAAAAAAGTTTATTGAAAACCCATAATCCAAAACCAATGAACAGTATTAAAAATACCAAAAATTAGAACCAAAGGAAAATACGAAAAAAAAATCGTATTAATCAAAGGAACAAGTAAATTAAAATAAAACAAGAACAAAAAATAAATAAATACGTAAGTTAGACGTCACGTCCATAATTAACTCTCTCTTCTTTTATCATTTTCATTAATAGATACAAATGGAAAAAAAATACTACTTTTATAGATACAATCCGATAAAAGGATTAGTGAAGCATAAAAAATTAAATATCTTTTTTTACAGTTTCTCCACACTTTATATATATATATATATATATATATATAAATTTAATATATTTTTATAGATCCGACAGTATGAAGAAAAATAGACTAAAAAAAAACAATATGAATATGTCCTGAAGATGGTCTATTCGACCGAAACGCCCGACGTTGACATTAAAACTGCATAATCGCATATTAGGATTTTTGTTAATTAATATTTTACTAAAATTCTATGAGTTGATCCTTTATTTCTTTTTTAAATAAATCTCGAAAGAGATTTGACTTTTAAGATATTTTTAAAATGTTTTAAATATTACCATTTTTTTCACTTAAAATGGCGGATCGATGATGAATTGGCCCTGACAATCTATCGATATATAAAATTGTGATTTCTGTTAGTCTCACCTCCGTCTTCCACGCCCTCTAAAATAGCCATACATTGACCGATCAAAACCAAATTTTGGGGATAACTGAAAACAGGTAAGAGGCTGCAGAGTACAGTTGGTTTTCCTTGGATGCGTAGCTTAGTACAATAAATTTTCCTTAGTCTTTTAAAAGTCTTATTTAACATACAAAATATTCCCACTGTTTTAAAAACAATTTAATAGTTAAAATAACAAATACTTTTTAAACAAAAATGCAATATTTTATTTTATTTATATATATTTTTGTAATTTTTTCTGTAAGATTTTTATATATATCATTCTGGTAAAATCCAATGAACAGCAGAATCACTGTAAATATAAACACTGTAGGGAGAGTTTCAAATCAACAGAGGAAGTGATAACTTCAACAATACTAAATACTGGGAGGATTTCAACACTTCTTAGCGTGTTACAAACAATTCTAATGTTATGTTTCTTTGAAATACGTAAAATTATTATTATTATTATTTTTATTTTTTTTTATTTATTTATTTATTTTTTTGAAGTATTAACCTTCAAATACAACCAAAGGGCAAAAGTTAACGACAAAAACTGTCCAAATTTCGAAAACTGTCGAAAAGATGTAATTTGAAAATAAAACAAAGCAGGTCATAAACTTTCGCCTTTTAAGACAGGTAAGATGAATGACATATTGAAATATTCCGTGAGGATAATTTTTCTAATCTGGAGAAAAAAAAATTATTTACATTTAAGTTAAATTTCTGATTAGTCAAAATGATACAATTTACAACGCATTTTTTAAAAATCTATCTCATAAAGGAGACTTAGGAAACCTGATGCGGCTTTTAACTAATTTTATAATATTTTAACATCTTAAATGTTAAAATCTATTATAATTAAAATAACAAATAAATCTATTAAAAATAAATTTTTCATCGAAAAATTTTTTTGCTTTCAAAAATATTGTCCATATTCATAAAAACAACTAAAAAAGAAAATAAAAGCATTTGAAATTAAATAATATCTTTGTTTTATTGAGTTTTGTATGTTACAATTCAGAGCTGATTTTCAGGTAGGAAGATCCCATTAAAAAAAACATTATGCATTACTGAAAGCCTTGTGCTTTTAACTATTGTAATCACTAAACCTGACGCGATCGAATTTCTAGCGTTTTCATAAAATTAGTTATGGGCGGGGAGTAATAAATATATTAAAAAAATATTTCTGCCATGACTTTAATAAAGAAAAAAAACCCACATATTTATAATAATTTAGATCATCTGTGAATAGTTTCTGAAAGTTTCATTAACATCCGACAATTATTTTTATTTTTGCAAGATTTTCCAAATTAATGTGTGTAATACAAAAAAAAAAAAAAAAAAAAAAACGTGCTAAAATTGTCTGTTATTTTACTAGTTCCGGTGATACAAAGAGAAACAAGGTTTTTTTAATCAAAATTTAGAATGTTCTAGAAAGAAGGAAAAATTTTTTAAAATAATTAAAATAAATTTTGATCTTTCCTCTTAATAATAACATAAGCATTTAGACGATAAAATTTTGTTTTCGTCAAGTTTGGTGTTTTTTTTTTCATCAAGATATGCTTTTTTTTTTTTTTATCTCATGGAGGTACCTATAGAATGACCCACTTTTGTTATTGTCTTCCTTCTTTTTTTCGTTTCTTTATTCTTTGTTTTCATTTCCTCCTCTCCCTCCTCCTCCTTTTTGTTTACGTTGCCTTCTCATTTTTGTTTACATTGCCTTCTCCTCCTTTTTGTTTACGTTTTTCATCCTTTGTTTTATTTCCTCCTCCTTTTCGTTTCCTTTCATTCCCCCTTCTTCCCTGTTTCCCTTTCCTCCTCCTCTGCATTTGTTTCTTTTCCTCCTACTTTTGTTTTCTTTTCCTTTCTCCCCCCCCTCCGCGTTTGTTTTCGTTTCCTCATCCTCCTTTCTTTATCCTCCTTTCTTTAACTCTTTTTCTGTTCTCTCTCTCTCTGTCTACACTAGCTCTATCCTCCTCTCTCTTTACGGGCTTTTTGTTTTGGCTGAAATCTTTTTAGCATCCTCTCGCAATACATATTACAATCTCACCATCAGCAATTTTATAATCATTGTTTCGCTTGTCCCAGTTGGTCAAGCATTAAAACTTTACCAATTTGGACAATCGAAACAATGATTAGAGAATAAGACTAAACTAAAATCTTTAACCCTCTTCAACCTTGACAAAATCCAGCATGCATTTGAATAATATATATACATATATGCAAGACATATCATCGCGTAGCCACGGGTTTCACCATCTCACTTTTGAATATCATAGAAATGTAAAACAAGTAAAGTTACTCTAAATAAATATTTAGTTGGATTTTCAATTTTTTTTTCCGTCCATTCATATTAAGATCTCTCTCTCTATATATATATATATATATATATATATATATATATATATTATTTTGGGCATTTTTTTGAATCAAAAGTTTTTCTTTTTGACAAAATTAATATCTATTGGCCTAAAAGATCGAGAGTTGTATTAAAAGAAAAAATCTCCCGATAAGAATACAAAGTGTATTTCTTTTCAATCTAGGAAACAAGCGTCAGGCCAGTTGTTCTTTTTACCATTAGGCTACAGGAAGCCACCAGTAAAAAAAAAATAAATAAATAAAGTTAAATTACCCTATTCAAAAAAAAAAAAAAAATCTCGTTGAGACCTTTGGCCGTCTATACCAATTAATTTTATTTTCATGTAAACTTTAAGCAAATGAATGAATAGATATTCTTGTTTTGTTTGTTTTCTTTTTGTTCTGACCTAGACATCGAAATCCCTTGTAATAAATTATGTCGTATTTAAAAATTCAATTAATTAATTAAAAATGTATACATTGCGAATAAGAAAATAAATTTAACAAATATACAGGATAAATTATAATGGTTTCCTGTCGATTTATAGTAAAAGCATGTCTGGCCTTCTCAGCTTAATAAGGGAATACTGGTTGTATTCCTGTCAGGAGTTAGTTTTCTTTGCTAATCTCTATTTCCGTATTTATTAATTTAACAGTTTAAAAAGGACACCTATATCTATATACACTGCTGGCCAAAATGTCAAGGTCAATGAAAATAAAGAAAAAATATACATTTTGGGTTGTTTGACTCAACCACATATTTGAGCCGAGTTTCGGAAAATGAAAATAAGAAAAGGACAAATGTAAATGAAAATCTTTTTTAGCATTTAATAAGGAAAATTTGAATATTAGAAATTATGCTTAATACTAGCGTGTCAAACGTTTAAGACTGTTTAAGCGAAGATTTAATTGGTAAACACATAACGAAATTTAGTCATTTGTGTTAAAGCATTAGCGCAGTCAACATCTCACACTGGTATTGCCTGCATTACATTAAGACATGGCAAAGGGTAAAACGTTGACAGTTTGAACGTGCAAAAGCAAGGTCTCTCTCAGCGCGACATCGCTGGTGAGATTGGACATAGTAAAACTACTGTTGGAAATTTCTTAAAATACCCTGAAGGACACAGAACGGGAATTTCAAGTAGTCCGCCCAAGGAAATTTTGTCGATGTTGAGCAGTAGGATTCGGGGATTGTCCGACAAGACACCAGCCGACCACCGGCTCTTACGGACGCATAATACAGCTCAACAACAATAAGACGGCATCTCCGAAATTTATGTTTAAAAACCGTAAAGTCGGCGCCTCCTTCAACACCATAAAACAGCTCAGTTAAACTTTGCTGAGAAACGCCAAATATGAGTCATAGAAAAATGGAAGAAGGTTTTGTTCTTCGGTGAGAAAAAAAAATTAACCTCAATGGTTCTGATGGCTTCCAACTTTACTGACAAGATAAGAATATCCCACCGGAGACATTTTCTATACGAACACAGGTGAGGAGGCACCATCATGATCTCAGGTGCTAATCTCCTTCCAAGGAACAATGGAGCATCAGGTTATACGTTGGAGAGAGCATCATTTAATAAAAGCCATCGCCTATGCAAAATTACGAGATCTTTCAGCAGGACAACACTACAACGCATGTCCCACGGGACAAAGGACTTTTACATAGCGATTCTCATGATTCTATTTTTACCAGCCAATGTGTTCACCCGACTGAACATATTTAGTGGTGGAAGTCTGTAGAAATGGACGTCAATTCTAAAATGTGCATGATCTTCGTGAAGTTATATTCACCACCGTATCCCAGCCAAAATTCTGCAGACCCTTATATCGACCATGCCAAAGTGAATTTTTGAAATTATTCACAATGACGGCCGTGAAAGTCACTACTGAGACGTCATGTTGGGCATTTTCTGCTCTGTTTAGGACATCTCTGAGGTATGGTCGTTTAGGACATCTCTGAGGTATGGTCGTTTAGGACATCTTTTAGGTATGGTCTTCAACTTTGACCAGCTAGTAGTTAGCCTAATTTCCCAGTATTCATTGCAAAAAATAAAACCCAAAAGAACTTAATTTTAATTTTTCCTTTTCTTATTTCCATTTTTTTGAAGAACAAAGATAAGAGGTTGAGTCTAACAACGCAAGAAGACATATTTTTACTTTATTGTGATGAATATGTCTCTGATATTAGGTATTGTAACTATTTATATCGTTCGGACTGTGATCCTCATCTTTATTGCGGTATTCACGATGTTTTTGTTGTTGCATGATCCGACCGATATCGGGTGATATACGTGTTGGAATTTCGAACCGGACACTTTATTTAGTCCACGGAAGTAGATTGTTCTAATTCCAAGTACCAAAAAATCGATAGCTGCATTCGTCACAAGTGGGGGAAAAATTTAAATCTGCATGGCACTTTACTCCAATTGGCTCATTCGCTTGCTTAAACTCAACGTTGATTCTGATTCCGCAGAACTGGGATGTATGTGAAAAAGTATGTTAACATTCTTTTTTCATTTGGTTTTTCCAGTTACGAGTCCTTTTTTAAAGCTGATCGTTCCGTGTTTATTTTTTTTAGTTCTTTTTTCGTAACAGATTTATTGTTTAGTATAGAGCTTAGAAAAACTTCGCAGTGTGAGATAGGCAAGAAGTAAGGCATGTAGCAACATCAGCACGGCAAAGGGCACTCATTTAAAGGCAAGGAAGGGCAAAAATATTTTAGGTCAAGTGATAGCGATTGTTGTATAAGTCATAACAATTTTGAACCAAGCACGGGCAACACAGGGCCATGCATGCTATATATATATATATATATATATATATATATATATATATATATATAATAATCTGAATCTGCGCCTAACATTTCTAGTGCATTTGAATGAGCTATGAATCATTGAAATCGGACCAGTGGGGAGCGGAAGAGTTGCTTGGACACACACATACACTGTACTTGCATATATAATAGCTGGCCACTCGTATTCGAGAATATCCGTCTACTAGGGCGGCTACACAATCCATATTGCAGACGCTTGATGAACACCCACAGAGCCCAACTGTTGTTTATACTGCAACTGGGAGAGAGCGTGTTATCTAGCGTGATAAACAATTTGAACAAGGCCCGCTCGCTCAAGCTCTCGGCCACAATGACTTGTGGGTTTGTGCTAGCACAGCAATCGACGGCGCTCTATGGTTTTCAGGCACTTTCTAAAGGGGCCACACGCTGGGATCGACGTGGATCCATTTCAATAATTTTATCGGATTGGATTTTAATTTTCAGCGTCTGAAAACTAAAAACATAAAACGGGTTCACCAAAAACTTGTTTGTTTATTGGGCAGATAAGAACTCGTGTGGGCCGCCAATAGTTATGCTTTGACGAAGTCTTGATTTTTCGTGGCTGAATGTGCAGTATATATTCAAATTAAGATGATCAAAATATAACATCTCTCTACGAGAAACAGGTAACTAAGGTCTACTCAGGTGTACTCTGTGAATGTTGACCAAACATAAATATGCCTGAGCGAGCGTCTGCTATATGGATTGGCTAGCCGAATGCGAGTGGGCATGTAGTATTATTTATTATTTTATATAGATAGATAGAAATATATATAGTATATGTGTGTGTATTATTTTTAAATATATATATGTGTGTATATATTATATATGTAGTATATAGTATATGTGTGTGTATTATTTTTAAATATATAATTTATATATCTATGTTATATATATATAATATAAATTATATAATATCTGTTTTATATATATATATATATAATTTTTTATTATATATATATATATTTTTTTATATATATAATTAAGATAGTATATATATATATATATAATATTTTTTTTATATATAAATATTTTATATATATATATATAATATCTATTTTTATATATATATGTTTTATATATATATATATATATATATATATCTATTTTTTTATATATATAATGTTTTATATATATATATAATATCTATTTTTTTTTATATATATAATTTTTATATATATATATATATATATATATATATATATATTTTTTTTATATATATATATTTTTATATATATATATATATATGTTGTGTGTGTTTTTTATATATAAATTTGACTATACCTGTTTTTTTATTTTATTTTTTATTAGTATGTAAATGCGTATATCTGTTCAATTCTATGTTTTCTGCTTTTGTATTCTCTCTCGTTAAATGTGTTTGTGTGTCTATATAATCATTTTAATGCGTCTTTGTCCGTAATATATGTGTGTGAACCCTCTATCTATACTCCTAAACATATGTGCGCATACCTTTGTCCATAAGTGTATGTGTAATGTTTATGTATGTGATTGATTGATTTTTTTTTTTTTTTTCACTAGTTTTGTATCACTTTACTATTTTGCGCGTGTGTGTGTATACGTACGCGGCCGCTGCAGTGTCTGTGTTTGCTGCTGCTGCACCCACTGACTTGAGGTCAGGGGTCAAGGCTGTGTCGACACTCTGATTGGTTGGATGCAGTCGTCGGCCACGCTCTTTTATTTGCACCATGATTTCTTTCGTCTCTTCTCTCTTGTCTTCCCTTTTTTCTTCGTTTCTTCCCGCTGCTTCTTTTTCGACTTTTACTTCTTCACCAACATCGCCGCCACCGTCACAACAAAG